CCTTGAGAATTTTGCATTGTTAAGTAGTAAGAAGTAAATGGAACTATTGTCTGTGAAAATCTGAAGGACGTTTAAAAATTGCCCCTTAATTTTTCTTTGTTCAAAAAAGGCAAAAACTTTTGCAATCTTAAACATCCAAGGTCTGTGGGAACAGAAAGGTTGTGCACGGCTGTTTAGCTATGCATGAAAGGGTTTAGATCTGTCAGTTATTAACTTCTAATGTGTGTGAGAGAGCACTCCAGAACTTTCCCTTTGTGTAACTAGTAATTAATCCATTACTGTAGCACAATTAAGTGCTGACTGTTTAATAAAAATAAAGATAACGAAACGACCCTATGTCTGTACACACCTCGTGACCAGGAGCAAAAACATCATTAGCAACCAAGGTACTTACTCTGAGGTTAGAGAGGTAACTGAGCCAACAGGTTAGGGTAAAATAAAACTTCATTAATTGTGCATCCATTAATACTGCTATATAAGAGAATTTAAGTTTTTATGGTTGTTTTGTTTAGAAACAGAATAGCCCATTAGCTTGGTGTCTGAAAAATAAATAGGACACTGAGGAGAAACTTTGAAAGGGACCCGTCTGACATTAACAGTCCTGTGTCTCTCTCTTCTGGGGCAGGGGCAGGGTTTAACCCTTTTAGCCCAGCCTGCAGCATAGCTCCCAAGAAGAAATATAACTCCTTAAAAATGATAGCAACAGTGGCTAGAAAGCCTCCTGATTTAAGGCAACTTTCTATCTGTCCAATTTTGTCAAAGCCTTTGTAAGTTTAACATGGTCTTTTAAAAAACTGGTTATATCCCAAATTCTTGTGGGTCAGATATCCTATTAAAAATGTCAAAAATAACTTTGCACTTTGCTGATTATTCTGCAAATAGAGTCCTACTGATGCCACTTATTTTCACATCTTGTTAGAATGTGCTTTGCACACAGAAAATCTGGTAGATTCCCACAGCAAAGCTGTGATTCTCAAACTCTGACTGGGCTGCCTCCAAGGTGTTGGTTAAAATGCAGATTCAAAGTCACCCAACCTGCCCTAGGGTTTAAGAGTCTGGATCATTTCTTTTTCCTTTTTAACAAATGCCCCCAGAGGATCCTGGTAACAGTCTAAGGATCACAATTTGTAAAATTGATACAAATGTTTTTAAGGAAATAAAAGTAAGTTTCTAAGTTTCGGCTTCATATATTGCATCTGGCTTTTCATTCTTTAATGTACGTCAAATTGGGGACAATTGTTAACTCTATTTTCTTAATTGACAAAAACATAATGGCCTTTATTCTTTAAAACATTTTTAGGTGTACAGAAAGTACAGAATGTCTATCATCTTATGACCCATCCCCCACAGTATCATTAACATGATGGATTAAGTTGTTACAAATGGATGATACAGCCACGCCTTGTCTAACGACCAGGTTATGTGGATGTGACCAGGATGTTAACTGAATTAGTCACCAAACCAGGAATGGTATATAGTGTGTACATTACAATATTCAGGACAAAGAAAAGGTCAAAGGAAACTCCAGCTTGATGATTTTGTTTTTATTTGCATAACTCTGACATGCAGTATTGTAACACAATAACAACATAAAACTACAGCCCTGTGTCCTATAGTACAATCAGCAAAAATTACAGTACTGTATAAACAAAGTGTGCTGTACAAAAAAAGACATCGAGACTCTCTAAACAAGATGTACAGACCTACAACAAAAGATGGGTCATAAGCCAAAGTGGTGAGTCACAGGTCTGGCCACTTGTTAAACAGGTAGGTCATTAAACAAGGAATATCCGTATTAGATGTCACAGTATCAAAATCATTCAGTAAAAATGATTTGCTTTTCTTATCCTGTGCTCTTTAAAATAAAATACAGCAGCCACCCACAAATAATCACATCAGCTGAATGCAGGTGATATTCATCCCTCGCATGTCAGAAAAGCCAGGGATGAAAATGACTCAGAAAATCCAAGCTGTATTACCAGGCAGCAATGACACTGAAAGTGTTCACTGATAATCATGATTGCAAAACGTTGCAATCCAGAGATGATCTTTAACGAGTCAGTAAAGTGCCTGTTCCGGGGCTGGGGATTTAGCTCAGCGGCATAAGCGCCTGCCTTGCAAGCAGGCGGTCCTGAGTTCGATCCCTGGTACCGATAAAAACGAAAAAGACAAAAAAAAAAGTGCCTGTTCCTATAGCTCCTCACATGCTCCTCCCTGGTACCTTAGTAGGCTTTCATGGATTCATCAGAATTACACTGATCACACCATTGATCCTGCTGGAATCAATGTGGTTTCAATGTGTGACGCTGGTTCATTCATACAGGAGCTCCTGCAGGTCACTGCAAGGGACCCATGAAACTAAAATACTGCAGCTAAGATTGCACAAAACCAGGAACCTGCCTGACTCTGTAAAAACCCCTGCAAAGACCAAATACCCTTGATAGGGGGACTGGCATTGAGGGAATCACTGCTCTGTCCCCCTCTGCAGTAAATTCATAGGAGGATAGAAAGACACAAAATATACAGTGAAGGAGCTCACTAGCCAGGAGTGCACCACAAAAAATTAAACACATAAAACAATCACAGAGCCAAGGATAACAGTGATATTAATTGTTCGATTGTTGCCTATGAATCAAAGCATATCTATATCTATCTATAAAACCCTTGAGAAGATATGAGACATTTCTGCACATTGAAAAGTTTCAAAGGTAATGTCACTTCTAATGAGTTTGTTTATATCTGAGGATTTATTTACCTCCAAATGAATCGGTTTTATTATCACCCGAGGACCTGTTGGAAGCAAATAGCCCTTAGAAGTGGGCTTGAGAAAGAGAGGGCACTGATACCTTTTTCTGGCTCGTGGCACAGCTATTCTGCCTGTATCCTGTGATCAACAGGTCTCACGAGGTCGTGCCCGAATCACTCCCTTCTGCAGCGAAACAGGCAAACCACAGATCCAGGCAGGAGGTTGTTTATTTTGCTTCAATAGCCAAAAATCCTCAGCTAGCTTATTTTCCCCAGCATCAGACATTATTGATAGAAAACATATTTTGAAGCCGTTTGTCTTTTTATGAATGCTGTGTTTATTTTCACAACATGCTTAGTGAATGAATGTTCCTAAAATACAATAGGCTACAGGAATTCATTTCACAACCCGTTTGTGTGTGTTCCTGCATCTAGTAGAAGAGGAATGGCACACAGTGTGTACATTACAATATTCAGGACAAAGAAACAGTCAAAGGAATCTCCAACTGCATAACTCTCACACACAGTACTGTACCATATAACAAAATACAAAACAGTGCTGCATGGCACAGTACAGTCAGCCAAAATTACACTACTGTATAAACAAGGTGTGGTGCACAAAGAATACTCAGGTTCTAGAAACAAGAGGGACAGAAGTGTACAAAAAAAGACGGTCGTAGGTTTCAGTGGCGGGTCCTAAATCCGAAGTGCACGCCTCAGTCCAAAAAGCTGTTAAAGGGCGGGGCCGCTAAACCAGGGCTATCTACAGCACACTGGACACTGAGTATTGAAATGCCCAGGCCAAGGTCACCAAGTGTATTAGAGGCTGGGCTGTGGCTGGGAACGAAGCCACACCCACACGCTGGAACAAGGTCTGGGGCAATTTCTCAGAGATGCTGTGTGCCGATCAACACCATAATGACTCTAATTGTTCTGCTTTCAGTATTTGCACACAGTGCTGCAGGATCACTTGGCTAAGCACTTTGGCTGGTGCGTGGGGTTGTTGGTGTTTAGCCTGAATCCATCTCAACTTTTCTTCAACCTTGGCACAACCTTTAATGGCGTGGGGTTTTAAGTGAGGAAAACAACAAGAAACAGAAGGATCATTAATTAGCTCACACCTGGACTCGTTCCAAGAGGTAGTCGGGTGGGAGGAACCGGGTTAACGCTGAAGAACTACTCTAAATTACAAAGGTGCTTCAATCTCCAGACCATTCACACAAAGGGGATGTTTCATTCATTCTCTGAGGCGGGTTAGGGATAGAATTTTGGGTGGGGTGATCTTAGCTTTTGTAAGGTTTGAGCAGCAGCTGGTAAGCTCCCCTGGGGAGAACTTCTGAAAGCTTTGGTAGAGAAGAACTAATCAATTTCTGTGCCCATTCTGCCAACCTGCCATCGCTGGGCCAGGAATGACTCACCAGTGATTCTGACAAAAATCTATACTGGTCGGTTCAAGGGGTCCACCGATCACGTGACACTGGAAAGTCGCCCCAGGAGTTTCCAAGCCTTCGCTACCTCGTCTGCCCGTGAGCGATCTACATCTGTTCTGGGCCTGGTGCCACCACGGCAGAAGACTAGGCGGCCCGTGACGAGAGCAGTCACCCCGTGGAGCCCCCATCTGGGCTTTAACAACATCCACGGGGGCCCTGGTGCCCCAACATTTGAGGAACCGCCCTGGAGGAGGCCAGGACCCGGTTCCAGCCCCCTCTGCAGACGTTACAGGCACGGCCCCTTCCAGTTTTCAGATCCACTCTTGCGCACAGCCGTGAAAGCACCTTTTAACCTGACTGCAGAGAGAAGCTCAGCTCAGCGCGGGAAAGTGACTTCCAGAGCCCCGACCGGCCTTGGCTTCCGGCTTTGGTCCGGGCCCGCTCGGCCGCCCCCCCGGACAGCTCCCCCGCCGAGCGGCACTGATGAGATGGGTGTCCGGTGGCTCCGGTCCGCTAAGATCAAAGGTGCTGGGGACCCCGCCCCGCCCCGCCCGCCCGGCCTGGGCCACCCGGCCCGGGTGACTGCGGGGAAAGCGGAGCCGCCCGCGGGCCGGCGGGGGAACCTGGGGCCCGGCGCCCCGCCCCCCTCACCTCCCGGCCACCTGGGGCGCAGAGGGGGCGGGGCCTCGGGGAGGGGCGGGGCCGTCCGGGCGGGCTCCTGGAGGGCGTGCCCGGGATCCCGGGGGTGTGGGCGTGGCCGAGGGGCGTGCCGGGGGCGTGTCGGGGCGTGGCCGCCCTCGGGTCTGCGAGTCCCGGGCGGGCGTGAGCCGGCAGAGCCGCGGCGCCGGACTGCTCACCGCGGCGGGCGGCCTGCGCCGCAGCGCCCCACGCGCGCTCTGTGGCCCGCCGTCCCCCTGCCGGCTGGAGCGCCCCAGCGGAGCGAGCGCAGAGGGAGGGGACGCGCCCGGCCCGGCTCCCCAGCCCCGGGAAGAATGTGCCACCAGCTGTTCCCAGATCGCGTGCGCTTCGCCCCGAAGTGAGAAACTTGAAAGAAGAAGAGACAAAGGCTGCCTTTGGGACGAATGAGTTAAGAGACTTGGTTGGGGCAAACAAAAGGTGAAGAAGTCCATAAGGACGCGGCCGATGGCAGCGGGGCGGCCCCGCGGGTTCGGGTGCCCAGGACTCGCGGCGTGACGCGCGTGGCTTGCCCGGGACCCGAGCGATCGCCGGCTCCCGCGGGCTGGGTGAGACCGGAACAATGGACAACTTCTTCCCCGAGGTGAGTCCGCGGCCCGGGAGGTGGGTTTGCCCCATCCCGCGCCCCCCTAGCGCCGGAGGCCGGTGGCGGAGGTGCGTGGCCTGCGCGCGGGTGGCGGCACCGGGGTCCGCGCCAGGTGCGTCCGCTGGCGCTGGGTGCGGCGGGAGGGCTCCCGGCCCCGCTGCCGGGGTGCAGGAAGCCCAGAAGGAGGGTGGCGGGGACGTAGTTTCTCGGGGAGAGAAGTCTGCTCTGGCATTTCCTCTGCAAAACGTGCGGGCTTCCTGTGCTGGGGCGCGGAGACTTGGAGAGGGGACGCTTCAATGAAGTGCGAGAAGGGGCGGCGAGGCTTCCTGCAGCCGCGGTCTCTGCCTGTTGGACCTGGGGGTGTGGGATCCCAGCTCCCGAAGAAGTGCTCTTTGGGCACAGAGACGGTTCCAGAGCACAGGCTCAGAAGAGCCTGTTTGTGCCGGCTGCTCATGCTTGGCAGTCTGATTTTGAACTTTAAAGAAAATTATTTTAAAGCAAACAATAGTTACTTAAAAAGAAAAAAGAAACTGATGTCCTCTGGAGTCGCCAAGGACTGGATGCCCTCGATTTGGAACTTGACTAGAGAGCGTTTCTCTCCCTCCTTGGAGTAAGAGTTGGTGCGGTTTTTTGGCTCCTCTTACTTTCTTGGTTGTGTTTGTTTAACAAAATTCTGTTTTTAAGTTTGAGGTTTGAAGTGGTTTCGAGTAAACTGAGTTGACCTGGAGGAGGCCGATGTGCTCTTCGGTGAAAGCGAAAGGGTCGGTTCTGTGAATCCAGGACAGTGTTGGAATCTTCCAGCAAACCAGGCTGCTGAGGGTTCGCCTCCACGTTAGCCAGCTGGTTCTTTTGGCTTCGTGGGGTATCCGATTTCAAGTTCTTTTGCCTTCAGGACTTCCGGGGTGCTCACTTACTGTTTTCTTACCGAGGCGATGACTGTGTTCTTGAGGTGTAGTACTATCCTGTTTTGTAGAAATAGTACCTGAGATGTGAGACCCAGATCTGTCATGAAAGGTAGGCTGGGAAGGAATGAATCATCTGTCCATACGTTATTTTATGAAAATAAAACACACACCCACACACACACACACACACACACACGCACGCACACACACGGACCGTGGCATTTTCATACCTGTAATTTGAAGCACTTGCCTTTTTTACCTGTTGTACAGTAAATGGTCCAAATGATCTTTTTAAATTGCTTTCACCTGTCAGAAAACTGGGGCTCTGCCTGTAGGGCAGTAGTTCCTAGCTTTGTTTCTGTTTGTTTTCGTGTTCTGGATCCTTAAAAAGTCTAAGGAAAACATAGAATAAGAAAAACATAGAATTTGTTGTACGGTTTGCGGGAGTCACAGACCTCCCGAAGGCAACGGACCCTTGGGGAGAACTCTGCCCCCTACCGCAGGTGGGAGGAACTTCAGGGTAATGGATTTCAAAGTACACAGCGTGCTTGGGCCTGATGCCTTTAAGGAGACCTGAATGCTGGCTTTTATTTCAGCGGTTAATATACTACTGAAGTTAGCCTTTATCGATCTTCTACTGCATCTTCTTCATGTTTCTAGAAGGATACTATTGACCCAAAGATACTAGGTCACTTGCCCAAAATTGAAGAGCGTGTTACAGAATCCAGAGCCTTTCTTTTTTTTTCTTGCTGGTGACTGGTATTTCTGGGAATCTTTCATGGTATTGAAGGTTACACTTAATGTGGTAGTGTGTTTGTGCTACAGTGTTAATTTCTAATCAGCCTCCCAAGTTCCACCTTGCTTGTGAAAAGTTGACACAAATCTTCTTTTACTTAGACTCCCTATCTCTTTCTGTCCTATCTTGGAACAGAACATCCTCCTGGGAAGTTGTCCAGTGAAGGAAATGCCATCTTGTCCCAGAAGGGATACATTTCCAAGGACCTCTGGCTTGTGGGGCCTCCTTGTCTCTCCATAGTGCCCTGACTCTTTTAACTTTTCCCACTGTGATGTAGGGCTGATGACCTGCTGCCTGTCGGACAACAGTTTGAAGTTCAGCCTAAGGACAGGGAAGCCCACGAATGAGGTGTTCCCTGAGTGAGCTATATGTCCAGGTAGGCTGGCCAGCTATCAGGAAATAGGAGCTGCTTGCTTGTGGATCACAGCTGCCAGTTAAGAGTTAGACAGGCTTTCTCCAGCTGGGTGCCTGGACATTTGGTGCCAGGGTATTGCTTGTCATAGGGGGCTGCCCAGTGAGGACATTGAGGAGCATCTCTTGTTTGATTCACTAGATACCAGCAGCCTGCCCCCTCTCAAGGAGTGACACCCCCAAATACCTGCAGACTTTGCCGGGTGAACCCCAGCAGCAAAGCTCCCTGCCGTGCCCACAAGCCGGACCTGGGAAGCAGTTGCCTGGCGGCACTTTTTCTGGGCCAGCTGCCCTGCCGTCCTGTCCACGCTTGCCTGTTTTAAATGGGATCTGGCCTCTCGCTGCCGGCGGGCAGCCAGGGGACGTGAGAGGTTTGTGCCAGTCAGCTGATGCTGCGGACTTCAAACCAAGCTCCAGGATTGGAGATCAGGAGCGCGCCAAACCCTGCAGTCGGGTTTCAGTTTCTTCCTGGCTCTCATTACATTTTTACAGCTTCTCTGGCGCTCACGGTGGGTGCTAACATTGGGAAGCAGGCTTTTTCAGTGTTTCTAGGTAGGCTGTGAAAAAAAAAAAGACTGCAGGCAGAAGCCAGAATTTAGGAATGTCTGTAGCCAGAAGCAATTACACAAAGAAAAAAAAAAAGACGACAGAAAAGTTTCAGCCAGCCTAGTGGCCACTGCATCAAGCTGTCAGTGTGTTGGAATGGCCTGTGTTCCCCTGGCCCCAGGGCCGGGTACAGAGCCTGAGACACAGCAGAGGCTGTCATCTCCCAGTGAACTGGGCTTTTCCGTTTTCTGTTTTAGGTGCAGGCGTGGCATGGTGGCTGTTCAAGTGCAAGATCTTTAAGAGTACGTTGCTGAGGCCTCTGCCAGCACTTTGATTTTCAGAATAAGTAACTAAAACGCATGCATGTAAGACACTCTTGCTCTCAGAGGTAGAAGGCGGGTACTCCAGCGAGGAGGGATAAGTTGTTAGGAAAACCTGTTTTCTTTCCCTGTGTTCTGGACAGCCTGGTTTCGTTCAGAGGGGAGCAGGCTCTGCCGTCTCCATAGGCAGACAGCGCCTCTTTTCCACTTGGCTTGGGAAGAAGGCATGGTTTGGATGCTGCCTGCTGGGGTCCAACTAACTTCTTAAACTAGAAGCAGACTTCCCAAGCCTGGCCTCTCCCTGTTAGATAATATATTTTGTTCTTGACCTCCTGACATTTCATGAGACAGAAGGAGAGAGACTGAGACATTGTTATTTTTGGTAGCTCCCCCACCCCACCCCCACCAGATATCTCTCAGTGTGTAAAGAAGAGGTGCCCGGATGTTTTTGTTCCATCACAGATGAAGACGTCACTTTGATGACTGTAAATTCTCCTAGGACGCGGGCTGGGTCCCTTTTTCTGTGTGTAACAATTGACTTAGAGAGCCTTGACTTTTTTGCATAGTCCAGAAGAATTTCTTTTGTCAAGTACTCATTTTTTTTTTTTTAATCTTGCCCCTGCTGCATTGGGGACAGCAAAGCCACCACGCCAGCTGCAGCTGCCCTCAGGACAGTTGTTGCTAGCAGACCCGGGAAGGCTGCTCCTGCACGAAGGGAGTTCACTGTCCTGGCCCTCCTACCTGTCGCTGAATCAGGCACCAGCCGGCCTGGGCAGGGCCTCGCTGTTCAAGGAGAACTTCGCAGACCTGAATGCCCCAGTGTTTGCTTTCTCAGCTCTGCTGACCGCATGGAGGGGTCACCTTTGAGGACATGACCTCGAATGTGCACATTTGCTGTGGTGGTTAGGAAGATTTGAATATCTTGCTTTTAGTGGGTTTCAAATTTTTGGATTCAGAGTGATACATAACATTTTAATGTCACTAATTTGTAGGGGACTCTCAGGAAGGAGCCGCCAGTGACGTCTATCTTAAATGTGGCACGGTTTCCCTTGGTCAGGCAGAAAGCACCTCCTTCTTAGCAGGAGAAGCCAGACTGCGTCTACCCGTTGCCACCTCAGGAATCCCAGCCATGACTAGGCAAGCTCGAGGCCAGGCATCCGAAGCAGGTGCCGCTCAGTAGGTGAGCTGCAGTGGATGGCTGGCCGTGGGAACTGTGGTCGGTAAGGTCAGGCTTGTGCCGTGAAGCCCAGGCTGGCCTGGACCTTGTCTCGTGGTGACCTTCACCCCAGGCTGGTCTGGTTGATGCCAAGTGTGGTTCTCCGACCCCACTCTGGCCCTTCTCTTCCTGCTTTGGTCTTCAAAGCTGGAGGCACAGAGGCTTTGCACGGTACTGTGCAGTTCCTCTCCTTGAATGAACTGAGTTTTGCAAAGGGGTTGAAAGCTTCCCTTAGAAGCACCTCATCACGTCTATCTCCAGAGGTCCCCACGTGCTAGTGGCATCACCCCTTGCCACAGCAATCATTTTCTCCAAGTGCAGACTTCTTCATGACCAGAAGGAAGCAGCTTCTAACCTTGTCACTTGATTCTGAAGCCTTTGCCTTTCTTTGAAGCGAGCAGAAGACAGCTAGCATTTGCATTGGGATTGTTCCAGGGGTATGCAGGTAAGCACTTGACCTCACTAGTTTGATCCACTACCAACCCCATGAGCAAGGCACCATGATTCTGTTTGCCCCAGGGGTGAGCCCAGAGCAGTTAAGTAACTGGCCCAGCATCATACAGCTAGAACGTGACCTGGTTAAGGACTAAACCTAGGTCATCCGGTCTCCGAGAGCCCTTCATGACCTGGCTTTTCCAGCCTGTGAATTTCATTTCCTTAAACCTGTGCCATCTGTCCTAGGCTTGTGGATTTTTGAGTTGAAAACTGTAGAAGGTAGGAATACAAGCCACCCACCACCACAGACATTGACAGCCCAGCAAGAGAAAGACGGTCAGCTCAGCATCACCTGCCCCAAACTTTCC